AAAAAAAAAAAAAAAAAAAAAATGCCTTATGAAATTAGATCATAAAAACCTAGATCTACGTTCATCTTATAATATTTGTCCATCTACAAACTTGCAAATAACTTTTCTATAATAATCCTTTGCTGTTGAGATAGCGTGCACCAGCATAAAACGCAAGGGATCCATTAATGGCTTTATCAGTTCACTTTGTATATCATTTCCTTATAAAAGTACACCAATAATAATGAGCTAACCATTCTGTCTCTACGTTTCTTGTCATATATCTCCTTTAGACATCGTGCAAAAATTGCAAATACACAAAAAGCCAACAGGTTGGACACAGACCAAAGAAAACATTCAGTTTCGTATACAGTGTGTACCATATGGATTTAATTGATATATTTCGTGCTTCAAAAGATAATGGTAGACACAGATGTGGGAACGACAAAATGTCATCAACAGGGCGTTAATGACAACTCAAAGTATAATACAGGAAAAACTTAAATGAAACAGTTGGAGTTTCGTGCATTTCATTTTCGCAATCTCAAGAACTCGGGGTTTGCAGAAAACAAACTCGCCTGGCGTTCTCTTTTAGTGTTAAAATGTGACATACCAATTCAAATAATAACAGAAAAGCCCGTGTAATCACGAACATCATTGCATACATGAAAAACGATTTGAACAGCGACTTCCAAATGTCACCGTTTAAACTTTCATCGAGACTGTGGCAACCCTCAGGGTACAGATGACTGATGTGAGATCGAAACGATCAATACAACAACCCTCATGCAATTATATAGAAATGTTCCACAATATTATGTATGTATGACGAAACAGCTGCTGTGCCGTGCAAAATGTCGCAGACTTCCTCTAAATGTTACAGTCCTTCATCAATATGTAAATGTTTTTTATGGAAAAACAAAAACAAAACTAAACAGGTTCCCAGTCCTGCATCGTTAGTCCACTTACAACCTGATAATTTTACTTATAGTAGATACAAAAAAATGAGTATTATCTTTCGTAATTCTCATATTTGCAAGTAATGTAATGTAATGTAATGTAATGTAGATAGCACTGGCTCTAAAATGGTGTCACAATCATCTATCACCACTCCGTATCTTGCGCCATGTCATTTTAGCATTTCTGTTTTAGCCTGTCAGCTGTGTAGTGGATAACATGGTTCTGCTGGAGGTGCGGACAGGTGATCGTCATCTCTGAAATAACAGTGTTCAGGAAGTGTCGTAAATGAGCAGATCATATTACATTCATTTAGTCATTCAGCAGTTTGGCACTTATCCCACTATTAAATAGTTAAATGTTATAAGTGGCACAGCTATTATATCGACGTTACTAACCCGCATTCGCTAGAATTTTGCATGGTTTACTCTATATCTAAACTGTTTTGTTTTTTTAATCACATGTGAACCAGATTTTAAAACAAGATGCTAGTAGGCCCTACGTTAGAGACCAATTGTCAAATTAACGCGTGTGTGTGTGAATGTGTGTATGTGTGTGTGTGTGTATGTGTGTGTGTGAATGTGTGTATGTGTGTGTGTGAGTGTGTGTATGTGTGTGCGCGTAGTGAGAAAGACTTAATTGTCAGTATTGACAATAAATTCTTCATAGGCTTGCAGATACATTTTATCCAAATGTTCGTTACTTTATTTAATAATAATAATAATAATAATAATAATAATAATAATAAATACCCAATCAAATGGAATATGATATCCATATGATCAAATCCACTAACTACTTCAAAACTGGAAGGAAGATAAGACGTTGATCTTACTTGCCAACGAGTTTCACCATCAGTGTGGTCTTCTGTTTTTCGTCTACTACCAGATCTTCGGCGGCAGAAAATTTAGCATGACTAGGCCCTTGTAATGCCACTCCGCCTGCACTCCAGCCTCTACAAAGATATTACACGCCATAGGTAAGTACTCCGAATGAAAGTTAATGGACCCTGTGAGAATTCTGCAAACTTCAACAGCATTTAAAAAAATCTGTTTGATTGCAGATATTTCCATTATAGCACAGTTGATGTTTTAAACTCCTTTGCCGCCCTGTCAACAAGCCTAGCAAGAGGTTTCTCCATTCCTTTCACAAACCTTGATTTGCCGCTGGAGATTTTATGCATGTATTCAAAGTTTTTAAATTATCTAACAAAATATTTACCCATAGGCTTACTTAATTAAAATTGCTTTTACTCAAGTAGTCATCTTGTATTTGATTTAAACTGCGACATATGGCAGTAAATGCCATAAAATATTTTAAAAGATTTTAAACAGTGCATATGACTTTAGGATAAAAATTTTATCAGTTTTTTTTTTTCTTTTTTTTTTTCTTTTT